AATAAATAAATAAATAAATAAATAAATAAATAAATATTTTTTTAAAAAAATTAGCTGTTCAGATTACCAGATGTAAACATGCCAAATTGGTCAATGCAGTTATAAAAAATTATAAAGGAGAGAGAAAAACAACTTGAGCCTTAACTGCTCCTTTCAGTAGACCAGCAAAAATAACCTGTACACTTGAGTAGGATGAGCATTGATTGCATGTGCATTAATCTCAGGAAATTCCTCATGGAAAATCTCTCATGTCCCAGAGGGGGCCAGGCCACCCATTCCTCAGGGCTGAGACAAGGGCTTTGTGTGTCTCCACCCTGATGGGGTCTCCCACACCCCGTGTCCCACTCCATTGTGCCCGCACACTGTGTGGCCCTCTGAGGAGGGACACTTCCTGCTCCACTGCCCAGGAGCAGGCAACCAGCAGGTGACTCCAGCTGTGCTCAAGGTGATCCTGCGTCCCAGAGGCCGTTGGTTCGGGGTGATGCTGATCCTTTGTCTGTGGTACAACCTAATGGGGTTTATGAAATTGCACACTGCAGCGCTTCTCCAAGATCCGTACTCTGAGTTCTGCTCTCTGGCCCTGCACTTGCCGCCTGGGCTCACGGAAGCAAGTTATCTTGAGATTGGTGTCCTTTTTGCAGTGCTAGTGTAGTTTTCCATTTGAAAATCAAGAGTTATCTTTGATTTTGCTTCCTTCTTGCTACTCTTGTTAGCAGAAAACCACAATGTGCTTATTAGAAAAATCTACAAGATCTTGTACACTAATACAAAGCTCATTTCCCTGCTGTAGGTTATGATGGTTTACATCATGAAATATGTAAATTTGAAAATCAGCATCGTGGCCGAGAGCTGCCCGGGTTTGTGAACTTCAGGACATTTGAAAAGATCATCAAAAGGCAACTCCAGGCCCTGGAGGAGCCAGCCTTGGACATGCTGCACGTGCTCACCAGTGAGTGTGGCGCCCTCTGGTGGTGTCTGTTGCTCATGGGGGAGAGGTGGAACGAAGCAGAATGAAGGTTCAGAGCCCTGCCTTGGGCATTTGCTACTCTAAAACTCTTCTCCTCTGACCTGGATGCCATGCTGGGGTCCGCAGGTGTGACCCTGATAGTACCATAGAGTAGGTACTCTAGGGGTGGTGTGTACCCCATGAGCACTCAGTGCCCATGGCTGTCCCCAGGTTCATACCTCCATCCCACATCATGAATGACCAGCTATAAGTCAGAGTCCCACCACCATTCTCTCAGATATTGGTAAATTCCTTGGCTGTTGCCAAGCTGATAAGACATCCAGGGGCCGCCGTATCCCAGTGGCATGGGATTGTGCGACCCTCCCACAGTGCCCATGGCTCCCTCTGGACTTGCAACCCTGGAGGTTTCTGGCAGGCCTCAGTGCAGAGGACGCAGTGGCAGCTCCAGCCCAGCCCCCTTCCCTTGCTAGAAGGGAGGGTGATGGCAGTGAGAGTATCCGGCTTCGGGTCCTGACCTGCTCTGTCTGGCCACCAGCCTCATGGTAGGCATGCAGGCCTGGCATGGTCACCCCACAGAACCCAGGCTCCTCTCACCACAAAGGAAGAGCTGAGGCCTCCTCAGCTGTGTGTGGACCCCTGGGGGGCAGATCTGTGTTCCCTGCTGTGTTCCTGTGGGTGCTTCCCCGCTCAGAGGCTGTGCTGATGCTGAAGCTCTGAGGAGCCAGGTCAGGGCTGAAACCCCTGTGGCAGGTGTGAGTCCCCTGGGCTCCTCAAGCCTCCTCCTCACTCACCCCCTCCTGAATGTGTGGCCTGCTAGATGCAAATCCCAGGGGATCTCCCCTCTCAGGCTGCCCTGCCTGGCCTCCTCCCCACACCTCACCTCCCGTCTCAGCAAAGCCCAGTCCCGCAAGGCTCCTGCAGGTGACCAGGTCCGGGCAGCCTAGGACACCTGGTGCCCAGGTGCTTCTAATGCTCCTTACTTCCAGGCTGCGGAATAAGGCTCCGCCCCCTCATTTCCACACTCTATTCAGTAACGTAACACAGCTGAGACTCACAGATGTGAGTGCGGACTTTTCAGAATGTTGTGAGCTTGATATCAATAAAGACTGCACCCCTGTGGGCACTCGGCAATGTAATAGTAATGTCCTGTCGGAAATTTCAATGGAAGCGTCCATAAATGAGCCCGTGTATATGATGTTTCAACAAAAACCTGTTTCTGCAATTCTTTTTCAAATGAATAGTGAGCGCACATAGATTGTATTGAGAAACTGAAGAATAATATGATCATTTTATGTTTAAGTGTTGATAAGTTTTTTAAAATTTTATTCATTTATTTATGTGTGTGTGTGTGTGTGTGTGTGTGTGGCCAGCTCAGCCCACCGGGGGCGGGGCTGGCTGGCATGTGGTGCTGGGGGATTGAACCGCGGTCCCTGTGCCTTGCTAAGCTTGTTCTAAGTAGGTGCTTTAGACCACTGAGCCATCTCACCAGCCCGATAAGTTTTTAATTTACAAAAAAAAAAATAGCTTTCTTGGAAACACAGCTTGTACTTTGGATAAAACATTTCACTGTGAAAGAGAGATATGCCCGAGTTTAGCTGTAAATCTTCCTAGCGGCTCTGCCTCCATGGAGGGTGGCTTTGTCTTTATTGTGGAAGAGGAAGAGGAGGAGGAGGAGGAGCAGCAGCAGCAGCAGCAGCAGCAGCAGCAGCAGCAGCAACAGCAGCAGCAGGAGGGGCGGGAGAATGGGAAGTTGGAGGAAAGCGTGACTGCAGAAGGATGCTAGAGGGAGTGGGCCTGTGTTGCTGAGCGTTTTATCGCCTGCGTGCTGCAGCCTAGGGAGGCGTACAGGAGCCGCCGTGCTGACGTGCCTGTCTCTCTTTGGGCAGATACGGTCCGGAAAGCCTTCACAGATGCGTCTGAAAGGAATTTCACTGAGTTTTTTAACCTCTACAGAATCACCAAGGTAAAACCAGTAATGAACATGTCCTTAAAAAAGAGCAAAAATCTCTGACAACAAAACACACTTTTCTTGCATATGATTGGATACAGTCTCTGTATACATTTGGATTCTCAGCTCCCCAGGAAATCTCCCTGCTGGTGCCCACAGCAAGATCTGGATCATGCAGTGGGGTTGGGGAAACTCAGAAAGGAAGCAGTTAGGCTTGGAACCAGGAACCCCAGTCAGTGTGTCTACATGGGGCAGCAGAGAGGATCGTGAGGAGAGCGCAGGAGGTGAAGGCCCCAACAGGACACTCACCGAGGAGGCTCAGCACAGAAACTGGATCTGAGGAGAGCGGGGAGGGACAGGGACAGGTGAGGCCCAGGTGCAGGCACAGAGCACTTCAGGCTGCACCGGTACTGGCACAGGGGAGAGACTGGCTTTGCCACCCTCCCGCCTGACGCTGAGGGCAGTTTCTCTACTGGCCCACAGCCCTGAATGGACGAGGGCACTGTCCTGAGGGGCACAGAGTGAGTGGGGCCCAGCCCAAATGGAGTCCACTCACAGCACTGTTGGTGGGGACATTCAGGTCAGAAGCCCACTCCTGTGGCCTTTTGGGTGAGCTGTGTGCCATGGTCGTGGGTTCCCCTCCTGCCAGATCTTTATGTGTCTTTCTCTTCCTGTAGAACAAAATCGAAGACATTCGTTTGAGCCAGGAAGAAGCTGCCGAGAAGGCAATCCATGTTTACTTCCAAATGGAAAAACTTGTCTACTGCCAGGACCAGGCCTACCGGGATGCACTGCAGAAGGTCAGAGAAGAGGAGGGCGAGAAGGAGAAGAAGAGCAAGGGCTCTCAGGCTTCGACCAGCAATGCTATGGCTGAAATCCTCCAGCACCTGAAAGCCTACTCCCAGGTGCGTGTGTTCGTGTCTCAGATCTGAGGGGCCGAGTCCTTTCCTTCAGAGAGCCCCCATGTCTGGGCTTGTGGAACACTAGATTACCAGCCAGCTCTCTGGGCCCCTGGAAGCAGCTCGACCTCAGCTAGGCAGAGGTGCTGGGGGTTTGGAGGCCCCACATCCGGCTTGGACTTGTACATGGTCCCTGCCCAGTGACTTCATGTTTCTGAGCCTGGGCTTGCTTCTGAGTCTTTGTCTTTAGGGCCAGTACCCAGCTTCCTCGTTTGTTTTAGGGATCAGAGCACTCAGGAGCCTCTAGAAAGAGGGCTGGCTGATAGATCCGAGCATAGCGTCCTCCAGGTGATTCCATGAAGTCATATGTGTCAGAATTCTTTGAGGACAGTGATTCCTTCCTGATGGCTATGTCCATGTGTCCACCTGTCCCCTTTGGCTGGTGCCCACTCTCATTTCTGCTGTGGCCCTTGGCACAGGCTATGCCTGGCTCCCTTTGTTTTGTTTGTTTTTGGTGGAACCGGGGATTGAACTCAAGCCCTTGCACATGCCAGAGAAGCGCTTATTCCACTGAGCCATCTCCCTGGCCCCTGGCTCCCTTGCTGCACTCCCTCTTCCTCACCCTGCTGGTATAGTCCCTGGTGCTTGTCACCTGCCTGGCATCTTCCTGACTGTATGGGTTTTGGCACATTGGATGTGGCTCATCATTTGGGGACATCTGTAACTGTTGCCCTGCATTCAGGAGAAGAAAATAGTCACAGCACAACATGATGTCACAGCCCTGAGATCACTGAGCCTGAAATTGCGAGTGCAGGAGGACATATGGGTAGAGGAAGATGACAGGGAAAGGACTCTGTCCACCCTGTCACTCGAGTTTCTGTCGCAGCCCAGGCCCTGCTGCCAAACAGCTTGAGACCTTGCCAAAACCAGAAGGTGTGGGATGTTCTCCCAAGGGGCTGCCATGTGAGAATGTCCCTTGAGCTGAGTGGGCCCTTCTCAGTTGCAGAGCACGTTCCTCCTTGCAGCTCCCAGATGATGGTCAGGGAGGCCAGGGACAGAGGGGATCACCACTATGGTCCTTCTGTGTCCACGTGGAGCCCCTTCAGCCTCCGGCACTGAGAACGCTGAGTGGGAACCCAGTCCAGGATCTCCCTCCGCGAAGCCCTGGGTCCTCTAATGCTCACATCACAATGTCACGGTCTCCTCCTTGTACTTGCCACTCAGCACTTTTGTGATCTGTCCCTTCTTCCAGGAGGTTCACAGCCGCATCTCCACCCACATCCCCTTGATCATCCAGTACTACGTCCTGCAGCTGTTTGGCCAGCACCTACAGAATGCCATGCTGCAGCTGCTGCAGGACAAGGAGAGCTGCGCCTGGCTCCTGAAGGAAAAGAGTGACACCAGCGAGAAGAGGAAGTTCCTGAAGGAGCGGCTGGCTCGGCTGGGCCAGGCCCGGCGCAAGCTCGCCAAGTTTCCCTGTTAACCCGGCTCCCGGGCCTCAAGGGAGGACGCCCTGAGCCTCTCCTGAAGGCCAAGCCAGGGAGATGGAGTCTCTCAGCAGGTTCTCAGTAGTCAGTGGCAGAGGCAGCCCTCTGTTCTTTATGCAGTATCACGTGGGACCAAGAGGAGAGCAGTTTGATTGCCAGCCGTAAGAGGGCAGTCCCCCACAAGCACAGGCTGCAGACTGGAGGGAAGATGGCACCATGCTGAAGGGACAAGGCTATCTCTGTAGGGGCCACTGCTCATTCCGACTCCTTCTGTGCCAGGAGGTGGACCACGAGGCTTAGCCGCCAGAAAGGTTCCTTCCTGTTCTCTCCACAATGTCCTCTGGAACCAGCCTTGTAGCAGTGGCCTGGGACTTGCAGAGCCCTGGCTTCCTCTGAGCAAATGTGTGAGCCTTGTGTTTTTGCAGGGAGGCCAAGCACAGCAGCAGGAGGCACAGGTAGCAATAAGTATGGGCTCTAAGCTGTCTGTTGGTGGCTTGGTAGAGGGAGGGATTATAGCAGGCTCCTCCTCTGCTGGGCTTTGGGGTAGAGGATATGTTCAAAACTATGCCCACACTTGGTTGTACAGCTGGCAGCAAGCCTGCTAGTTGCCAGCGCAGAAGAGCCAAGGGAAGACACTGAGTACTGAGCTCAGCTAGGGACCCCAGCCAGACAGCAGGCAACACGTGCACCATTTCCTCCCCAGGGGACTGTCCAGTCCCTTGGCTTCTGTGTGGCCAAGACAGGCAGCACCAGCTATGTGCTTGGGTTCCACCCTTCCCCGGCCTGCTTCTAGGTCCTCCCTGCACCAGGCCCTCCCTCCTACCGGACCTGTCAGATGGCAGGATGGGGTCAGATTCCTACGGAGCATTGTAGGGAGCAGATGGCATTGGAAATTGGCTACACATGTGGGAGAAGGTGAGGCTGGTCTGGGAATGAAGAGTGCCTAGAGCAAGCAAGCTAGTTTGGTCCTGAAACACATTGCCTAAGACACTTCTAGTCATTAGTCGCTATGCAAACCTATGTCATGGGATATGAACTTTTTGTCAAATATATAAATAAATTCCTATTGTTGTTTGTTCCGTTCCTTTCCTCCTATCAGGAGAGAGGGCTCTACCTGACCTCAATTTTCATCTCTTTATTTCTAAATCGTCTTGCTTATTTTCCTTGAAATTACCTAGAGCTGCACAGGATGCAACATTTGGCAAATGGACAGGGACTCAGGCAATTAACACCGAGTGTGGGCATGCTTCTCATTTGCAAACAACAGGGGAGAAGCATGTTGGTTAGCACTAAAATTCAGCCCAGCACTGCATCAGAAGTGGCAAATATGAGGTACAAAACTTGGGCATGGAGATCTAGTGTCCTGAAATATAGTTAAAAAAGAAAAAAAAAATCTAGTATATACAAACTGGATCTTAAAGTGTAAGCATGGGACAAATGAGATCTTTTTAAGAACCAAAGATGTATATCTATGTAGAAGTTATTTTGCATGATTGGTTCCTGTATTTTCTTTCTTCAGTTTTGGTTAGAAGTTGTTTTCAAATTGCAAAGACTTGTCTCAGAGGACTATTTTAAGATCAAGTCCTGAGCATGCAAAGGAGAGAGGAACCAAAGTCCCAGTGATTCAGTTTACACTCCTGCTTTGCTCAATCAAATCAGAAAGAAATAGTGGCAGACAAAAAAGAAAATTCTTTGGAATTGTGTGTGGCTGCCTTGCTGCCTGGGGTGGGGTGCAGGCCTGGTGCAGAGAAGGCCTGCACTCTCATCCTAGGAGGACTCAGCCATGATTCCCTTGCTGCCCATGCACCTGGGCATGATGCCCTGCTCCGACCACTGGCACAGCCAGAGGCAAAGTCCTTGTTGCCACTATGCACATTTCTGACTCCAAAAGTTTAGAAGACACAAACAGCTCCTGCACTCAGAACTCCCTCAGCAGTGGAGCATTCAGGGACCAAAGAGGGAGCTGCCACAGGTGCTCCTAGTGATGGCATCAGCCAGCCGCCAGCACCAGCCCAGGCTGCAGATGTGCTGTGCACCAAGGTCCCTGTGGAGACTGAGTGTGGGTGCGAGTCCATCCCTGGCAGTCATGGGCCTCAGCATTGTGGTATCTGGCTGAACCACAAGTTTCTCTGAGATTTATAGTGAACTATGAAAAAGTAAACAGTTAGGTGCAGAAGTCACCATGTGTGTAAGATGAAAACAGCATGTGTGCTGAGAATGAAGTCATCTGCAGTACAGCCCTGAACAGCTCAGGGACATCCATCTCCTATGTCCCTGAGACATCCGTCTTCTATGCACACTCAATTGAAAATCTGAGTGCAACTTTTGACATCCTGAACATATAACTACTAATAACCTGCTGCTAAACAGAATCTTCATCCACAACATAGGTGGCTAACACTTACATGACATGTTCCATGTATTGTCCACGGCAGGAAGCATGAAAATCACCAGAAACCTCATCTTACTGTTGCGCACAATTCACTGGAGCAGAAAAACTGCACAGACACGGATGATGAAGACTAACACAGCATTTTAGTAAGTGTGAGTGTATTCACCAGCTTTCCTGCTGCTGGTAGAAAGCACTTGGTGCCCACAACTTAAAGAGAAAAGGTTTATTTCAGCTTATGCTTTCAGAGGCTTTCATCCTAGACTAACTGGCTCTGAGTCAGAAATATCCTGGCAGGAGGAGGAGGCAGAGGAAGGCTGCTCAGTGGCGCCCAGGAAGCAGAGCGTGAAGGTAGAACACACGCGGAAGGGACCTGCGACCAGATATAGTCCCCAGGGTCATCACCATCATCGCTCCCCCAACAGGACCATTTAATGTAGACCCCTTCTCCTACAAGTTCAGCTCACCCACTGAGAAGCTTAGCACCCTCCCAATGCAGTTGCCATTCCAGGGGCTCACAATCCAGTCAAATGGACAGTCAGGATTAGATGGTACAAACTATAGCCCTTGCATCTACTATAGTGAGCGTTGATTTCAGGTAGAAGTGATTTAATAATGTGCTGGTAGTTTTTGTCTCAAATACTAAGGATTGGACCCAGGAGGCACTGAACTATATTCTCACCCGTCTTAAACTTCTTCTAGGAGAAGCTGTCATTGAGCTGCTAAGGCTGGCCTCACACTTGCAATCCTGTTTGGCAGGGCTGCTGGGTCTTCCCTGGCCAAGGTCAGGATCTCTGTTTGCTCCCAGGAAAACTGAGCTCCTCAGGCACAAGCCCCGAGCAGTGCCAGCGCTCAGTGGTGTAAAGTGTTGATCCTGGAGAAACTAGGTTACCAGGGAACCTCTAAAGAGAGACTGAGAAATCCTCAGAGCCGTGGACTGTAATTGTCACTCCTCGAACTAGACTGGTAGTCATAGTTCAGAGTTAGAAGTAAAATACACCCTAGAGGAGCAAGTTACATAAAGCAGCGCCACGTCCAGTATGTGATGATATTGGGGGCAGGACGTGAAGGGTGAGTACTTGAATCCCAGTCAAAAATTCCCAAAATTCTGTCCACATTGTACCTTTAGCTGAAAACCAACACATGTGGTCCTTCAAACTTTCAGCTTTCAGAGAGTTAGGAGATAGGAGAAAGCCCTGAGAGGACCTGTCCCATCCCAGTGTGAAATTTCTAAGGTGCAAAAACAGACCAGCCACAGCAGTAGGTAGTGGCCCCAGGGTAAGTGATGGAAGAACCCGACAGCTTTACTGCAGACCACAGAGCATTATGTCACATGCAGTCGTAGTCGCAAGAGAGGGAAATGCCTCTAGAAATACGAATAAGAGGAAAATAAGAGACTATTCTCTTTTGGTGTTTTTAAAGAGTAAACCCTAACTTTCCAATCAATTTTAGCAAGAAGCTGAACTTGGTTGAGAGGGTGAGACCCACAGTTCAAAGTGAAAGGATGAAGAGCAGGTGATTGTCCCGAGAGTCCAGCCAAAGCAGGCTAGCAGAGCCACTTTTGTTGTAGGAGTGCTGGATTATTTCAAACTTAGTTTTATGTACTAAAGCTGTAGTTTTGCAGTAGATCCCCAATTAAAATGAGAAGCATTTCTTTCCCTTGTTTTATTTTCCTAAAGTGGTTGAAGGTTTTTTTTTTTTAACAAGATTTACACTTTGAGATAAATTAAGTTCCCTGAAATAATCCAGTACACATTCTATGTTTCTCTATAAAACAGCTTTATTTTTATTTTTTAATAAATTTTGTCATTTATTTTTAATTATGTTTATTTTATTTTTAATTTTATTTGTGTGTGTGTGTGTGTGTGGTCAGCTCAGCCCACCAGGGGGCGGCGCTGGCTGGCATGTGGTGCTGGGGGATTGAACCGCGGTCCCAGTGCTTTGCTAAGCTTGTTCTAAGTAGGTGCTTTAGACCACTGAGCCATCTCACCAGCCCCTATAAAACAGTTTTAGTTTGAGGTCACTGAATGGTAATTCCTGAGGAAATCCTTAGTGCCAGTTTCGTACAAGCCCCTTTCAGTAATTTACCCACCTCAATCCTACTCTCTCTTACTAAAGCACCGATGGAAATGGGATCTACTGAAAGTAACCTGGAGTGATGGGGCATCGATCATCTGAGAAGGCTTAAGGGGAGAACTTTTTTCAGTTTGATGTAAACAGTGGTGTCTTCATATAGAATAAGTGTAATGAAGTGGGCGTTTTCAACAGGGGAGCGCAAGAGTGAGACCCACGAGGCCGGGACCCGGAGCTGGGATGAGCTGGGACGGTCCAGGAGCGCCTAAGAGCTTCCGCCTAGAAACAGCGCTGAAATCCGCTCAGCGCGGTGCATGATACGGGCTACAGACTGGGGCCGTGTGTAGGGACTAAGATCGGGAATTGGTGACACTATTACTTACTAGAAAATGTATGCCATTATGTGAAAATATCAAAGACACACAGTAAGTAAAAAATTAAACTTGCAGTTATAAATGATCCCTTTTTGTTTGCCTCTGAGCGCATTACCCATGTTTATAAACAACAGGATTTGAAAAAGGTTGTTTGTAAAGAGATTAAAGCTCTGAATGTTTGTGTCATTCCTCTTTTCTCTCTTTCTTCTTTTCTCCGCTTGCTGATTGTTTCTTTTCTGGGGACTGAACCCAGAGCATCCCCAGTGACCTGCATTTCATGCCTTTCTAA